TTGGTTTTTGGCGACTTCGTAAGTTCCACCGGCCCCACCTCCAAACTTAGGATCTTTCCACATTCCCACCACATAACACAATGTTAGTCATTCATTCCAAATAGCAAATAAATAACTCATGTTGCATTATTCAACCATTCAAGATATTTATCATATTTTCAATGGTTCTATACTATTTTCATTATGAGTTTTCAACCATCTAAAACATACATATCATCTCATATTTTAACATTATAACGCAACTCGTCTTCAACCTTTAGCGTTTTACCCATTCTCTCTCTCTAACCACATTTTCTCTCTCTAGGGTTTTGGGGTTTCAATGAATCAACCCACAAACCCCATCCATTCTTGGATTACTAACTCAAAACCAAGAGTTTACAAGGTACAAGCGACATAAAACGAACCATAACTCGAAAGAGAGAGTTTCCATGGTTTTACCCACTTTGAGAAGAGATCCATAATACCAAAAATGGTATCTCAAGAGAAGAAGAGAGTTAGGATGGAGAGTTTTACCTCTTCTCAAACTCTTGAACAAGAATCAAAGCTCCTAGACCTTGGGAATGCTCTCTTCTCTCACCTCTCTTCAATTCTTAACCTAAAAATGTGTTTGGGGTTTCCCTCATTTAATGTTCTCGTCGGGTTCTCGCTTAAGCGAGCTTTCTCTCGCTCAAGTGAGAAAATCCCGCACATTTTAAAAACTCAACTCTGACCCTCTCGCTCAAGCGAGAATCTCACAGTGTTAACAGCCCCAAAATGTCATTTCTCGCCCAGGCGAGACAACTCTCGCTCAGGCAAGAATCCTCCAGTATAGCCCAGGATTTCACCCTCCCAGGTGAACCTCTCTCGCCCAAGCGAGAATCTCTCGCTCAAGCGAGGATCCGAGGACTGATACTATAATTTTAAAGACTTAAAATTTGGGGTGTTACAATCCTCCCCTCTTATAAGAATTTTCGTCCCCGAAAATTAAACATACCTCGATTCAAACAAATGAGGGTAATCCTCCCTCATCTCTTGCTCAAATTCCCAAGTAGCGTCTCCTTCGTCCACTTAGCTCCACAACACCTTTACCAAGGCAATCTCCTTGCCTCTCAATCTCTTTACACTAGTATCCATGATTCTCATGGGCAACGTCGTAAAAGTCAAATTATCCATCAACTCTATCCGATCAGACTCAACCACATGAGATGGATCTCCAACATATTTCCTCAACTAAGACACATGAAACACATTATGGAGATTGAACAACAACGGAGGTAAAGCAATACGATACGCTACCGGCCCAATTCTCTTCAATATCTCATACGACCCAATAATTCGAGGAGTCAGCTTACGGGACTTCAACACTCTACAGATACTGGTAGTCGGAACAACTCTCATGAAAACATGATCTCCCTCGTTAAATTCAAGAGGTTTCCGTCTCTTATCATAATAGCTCTTCTGTCGACTTTGGGCGATTCTCATATGTTCCCAGATTTTCTGGATCTTATCCGTTGTTTCCTAGACCATTTCGGGCCCCAATATCAAGTTCTCCCCAGTTTCAAACAAACTCACTGGAGTTCGGCACTTCCTATCATACAACGCCTCATAAGGTGCCATCCCAATACTCGAGTAGAAGCTATTGTTGTAGGTAAATTCGATAAACGACAACATGCCATCCCAACTTCTTGGTTGTTCTAAGACACAGGCTCTTAAAAGGTCCTCCAATGACTGTATTGTCCTTTCTGATTGACCGTCCGTTTGTGGATGATAAGCTGAACTCAGCTTCAACTTAGTTCCCAAAGCGGTTTGCAAACTCGTCCAAAATTTTGAAGTGAAACGGGGGTCCCTATCCGACATAATGCTTGACGGTATTCCATGCAAGCGAACAATTTTCCGGATATACAGTTCTGCCAACCTCTCCAAAGAGTAGCTCATGTTCATAGGCTGAAAGTGAGCAGATTTAGTTAACCGATCCACGATCACCCATATCGAATCATATCCTCTCTGAGTCTTCGGAAAACCAGACACAAAATCCATGGAGATACTATCCCTCTTCCAAACGGGAATTTCTAGGGATTGTAACTCCCCCGCCGGTCGTTGATGCTCAATTTTTGCTTTATGGCATATTAAACAACTCGAAACATATGACGCCACATCTTTCTTCAATCCAGACCACCAAAACAACTTCTTCAAGTCTTGGTACATTTTCGTTGTCCCTGGGTGAAAGCTCATCTTGCTCTTATGGGACTCCTCAAAAATACTATTCCGTAGCCCTTCATCACAAGGAACACACACTCTCCCCTTGTAACGCATCATCCCACTGGAGTCCGTTACAAAGTCGGTTTCCTTTCCACTCATCATCAAATCTTGTTTGTCCATCAACTCAATATCTCCAACTTGCAATACTCGGATTTGATCAAATAGTTCATTCGTGACCGTCAACATACCCAATATCATACCATGAGGTCTCATCTGGACGTCTAGGTTCATATCCCTGAACTCCTCTATCAGCTTCCCTTCCCTAATCATCAAAGCTGACATGTGCAAAGATTTTCGACTGAGTGCATCGGCTACTACATTAGCCTTCCCTGGGTGGTACTGCAATCCAAAATCGTATTCATAGTACATTTAGTTACTTCAATTACAACCAAAGATAGTTACAAAAGAATGAATAAAGAGACATCAAAACAAAAGTCTCTAATCTCCTACTCAAAATCATTCGTCTCCGTCCACCTACCTGCAATGGGATTAACATTTACCATGTACAAACAACACAAAGGAATAAGTCATTAATTCAATAAAACTCAATGTAAGTTAATCCACATTTAATAAGTTTAAACTACAATGTAAATTAAATCCACTCAATATAAGTTAATTCAATAAAACTCAATGTAAATTTAATCCACATGGTTAATGTTAATCCCATTGCAGGTAGGTGGACGGAGAAGGATGATTTTGAGTAGGGAGACTTTTGTTTTTGATGTCTCTTTAGACATTCTTTTGTAATTTTAATTGATTGTAACTGAAGTAACTAATGATACTATGAATATTACTTTGTACATGATATTGATCATGGGAACTAGTAACTCGGGATATATGTAGCTATGGGTGTTTTGGAAACCCATAGCTAAATGTATGCGGGGGTTACTAGCTTATATTAATGAATTATGTTTTTCTGCTAGCGAATGTTTGATGTTACTTATGGATCAAGGATAGGGTGTGAGTGTGAAGCGAGACTTTTAAAGTAAATTTAATCACTCGATAATTATGATGGAGTGTTAAATGCATGGAAATGGATTGAGTAAATGAAAAAGTTTCAAGGATAGAATTTCGGGTTATTACCATTATGCACTTAAGAGGAGTTCCATTTTACAAAATAGAAAATCCAACCTAGTTCTCATATTATAAACATTTATCATATAACATATCTATTACATAAAACCCTACTCTACCATGTACTCTTCTCTGCAAGCGTCCAATGAGCCACCGCCACAACCTGAACTCAAATACACAACACATACAAGAAGAGACAGAGGGAGTAAGAACCAATTACGGTGACCGTAGCGTGGATTTACATGGAGTAATAACATTAAAGTATTACAACCTATACAACCTCTAACATCAATCATGTTAAACATATACCAATCAATACCTTATGCCACATAATATTCGTATATCAAATTATATGACAATCCAACTTCAAAATAATATTAAGCATTCGTATCTTCTGTCCATATAATCCATATTCACCCTATAGTACATATATCCCATAATATATTCTATAGCATGCATATTTATTTCATTCCAAAAGTACTTTTATTTCATTACCGACAATCGACATTAAATTACTCTTGACCACATCCGGCCAGTTTACACCATAATGATAATCCACTACCGCTTTAGGTAGGCCCACCCCACAAAGGTGCTCCATTACCACATCGGGTAAGTCTTACATGATCCACTACCACTTCCGGTAGGTCCACATTTCAAAGATGATCCACTACCACACCGGGCAGGACTACATTTCAAAGATGATCCACTACCACACCGGGAAGGACTACATTTCAAAGATGATCCACTACCACAATCATTGTTACAAACACGCTCATATATGTTTAGAACAATGAACAACTCACACACAATCATTATCACACAACACAACCATTTCTACTTTTGCCATTAAACAACACATTTCACAATTCTTATTACAAACATACCCATATATGTTTATAACAATTCAACCATCCATAACACACCATTATCATAAACAAACCACACACAACATATTCTTCATCATATAACACATTAACATATTCTTCATCATATAACACATTAACGTTAAAACCATCTTTCATGACGGTGTATTACCATAAATGAGCATATTGCATTTTATTTAAATAAACGGTTTTTCCCGCACATATATCTCCTCTTTTATGGCTAATACATCCTCATGTAAAATAAAGACTCTCACAAGGACCACAAATACCCAAGAGAGTTTCTATCCGTTAACATGCTCTGATTCTTGAGGGATATTGGAGAAGATGACTCTAATGAAATACTCTAAGACCACAATGGTCTTCTCCATCACCTTAGGTTGCGTAAGCTCCATGGATCCACAAAGAGCTTCCTCTACCTCCATCTCCTTCAACCTCCATTGTTCCTTTTCCACCTCCAAGGTTCACCAATGTGCCACTAAGAAGTAAGAGGAAGGGGTTTTGATGAGTTTTTGAGGTTTAGTAGAGGAGAGAGTCGAAATCTATGGGGAGCCACCGTTGGGAGTGAAAGGGGACAAAAGAAAATGAAGATTTGGGTTTTGATGAGTGAAAGGGGACACTATGTCTCTTGCTTGGGCGAGACCCTCTCGCTCAAACGAGAATCTGGCAGGATGTCCTATTCTTCAGGACTGCTACCTCTTTTAAGGAGTTTAAATTTTGGATGTTACAACCGCTAGCAGCATCTATGATACTTCTCTCCATGTTGTTTAGAACCTCATAAAAATATTGAAGGAGGAGTTGTTCAAAGATCTGGTGATGAGGGCAACTTTCACAAAATCTCTTTAACCTCTCTCAGTACTCATACAAGCTCTCACCATGTTGCTGCCTAATTCAAGAAAGGTATTTTCTGATTGCAATGTTCCTGGAGGTAGGGAATAATTTACCAAGGAATGACCTCTTCAAGTCACCCCAACTTGTAATTGAACCATGAAGCAAGTAATACAACTAGTCTTTTGAAGGGCCTTCAAAAAAATGTGATCCTCTTGAACATCATGAGGTTTCATGGTTGAGTGGAAAATTTGGAACTCCTTAAGATGCTTATGAGGATCCTCATCTGCGAGTCTATGAAACTTAAGCAACAAATGGATTGCTCTTGTTTTTAGCACATATGGTACATCCTCATATTAGATACACAGACTATCAAAAGTAAATATGGTGCACTTAGCTCCCTTAATGTCCGCTCAAGGGAACCAGGAGGAGTAGGTGGTTGAGCCATATTATTAGAGTGGACAGAATGCTCGGAATCAGAATATGCAAGAATGCACATAATCACTATATACAGCAAAATGCGTAGAAACAAAATGCTTAGTGCTCAATTTCTCTCCCTTTCTCTCTTTTCAAAACAAAGCATTGCTTCTTTCTCTTCTTTCTAAATCTGAATCCCCCCCCTTTTTAGGATTAGGTTTAGGTTTGTAGTGTTAATCTCATGGGCCAACCTGGGCCAAATTGTCACTTACTATTTTTTACCCTACACTCTAATCATTATTCACCTATCATCATTTTTATTTTAAAAAAAAAATTACCCGGGTCAAAATTGGGTGTTTACAGTTGTCCCTCTTTACTTGTTTCTCACTATATAACAAGAGAAACGAAGGTTATTCAAGTTATCATAGTGAGAAATAAGTGTAAGAATGAGAATGCAACTAAGAGGGGGGGGGGGGGGGGGGGTGAATTAGTTGTTGCAAAACTATGGCAAATTTTTCTGCAAAATCAAAGTTTAAGTGCAGCGGAAAAGTATGCAGAAAAATAATGACTTTGAAAGTAGAAAGATAAGGAGAAGAGAGTACACATGTGTCATGACATCTTCAATTTAAAGTCTTTAAATTATAGTATCAGTCCTGACAGTCTCGCTTGAGCGAGAGAATTGTCGCCTAGGCGAGAGAGGCTCACCTGGGAGGGTAAAATCCTGGGCTATGCTGAAGGATTCTCGCTTGAACGAGAATTGTCTCGCTTGAGCGAGAGTTGCCTCGCCTGGGCGAGAAGTAGCATTTTAGAACCTGTCGAGGCTGTGAGATTCTTGCTTGAGCGAGAGGGTCATATTTGAGTTTTTAAAATAGGCGGAATTTTCTCACTTGAGAGAGAATGGGCTCGCTTAAGCGAGACCCGACGAGTTGCATTAAATGAGAAACCCAAAAACATTTTAGGGTTAGAAAAAAAAGAGGTGAGAGAAGAGAGATTTTCCAAGAGCAAGGAACCTTGATACTCATCTAGAAGCTTGAGAAGAGGTAAAACTCTTGATTCTAACTCTCTTCTTCCCTTTGAAACTCATTTTGGGTATGGTGGATCTCTTCTCAAAATGTGAGAAACCATGGAAACTCATCCTTTTGAGTTATGGTTCGTTTTATGTTGTTTTTCTCTTTTAAACTCTTGGTTTAGAGTTAGTATTTCAAGAATGGAAAGGGTTTGTGGGTTGATTCATGAAAACCCCAAAACCCTAAAATAAAAATGTGGTTAAAGAGGGAAATCGGTAAAATGTTAGATGTAGAAGATGAGTATGCACTCTAATTTTGAAATATGAGATGAATATGTATGTTTTAGGTGTGTGTAAACTTATACTGAAAGTAGTTTAGAAACAATGAAAATGTGTTAAATCTCTTGTATGTTGAAAGATGCAATATGAGTTATTTATGTGTTATTTAGAATAAATGACTAACATTGTGTTACATGGTGGGAATGAGGAAAGATCCTAAAGTTGGAGGCGGTGTCGGTGGAACTTGTGAAGTTACCTAGAACCAAACCCAACACTCACTGAGGTAAGGATAAGTCCTTAACTTATGCATTGCAATAGAAAATGTCTGGAATTTCCGGTTGTGGTTAATGAATAAGTTGTGAACCACTTATTTATTAGAAACATATATGGGTATGTTTGTAATAATGGTTGTGTGGATTTATTGTTTATGGATTGATGGTGTATCAATGAAAAGGAAACTTGTCTTAGCCGACTATGATTGGTTAGCGACTTTGGCTCAAGTAATGTAGCAAACTTTGGCTCAAGCGATGTAGCAAGCTTTGGCTCAAGCGATGTAGCAAGCTTTGGCTCAAGCAATGTAGCAAGCTTTGGCTCAAGCGATGTAGCAAGCTTTGGCTCAAGCGATGTAGCAAGCTTTGGCTCAAGCGATGTAGCAAGCTTTGGCTCAAGCGATGTAGCAAGCTTTGGCTCAAGCGATGTAGCAATCTTTGGCTCAAGCGATGTAGCAAACTTTGGCTCAAGTTATATAACATGCTTTTCAAAAAGTATAAACGATGGAAATGATTTTAAGTATATTTAACTCTGAATTGTTTACTTAATCGTATTAAAATGTGGATTAATGTATATTGACATTTAATGAGTTGACGACTTACTCCTTTGTGTTTTGTGTGAATTTTAAATGTTAATCTCATTGCAGGTAGGTGGAAGATCTAAGGATGACTTGGTTAAGAGCTTGAGGCTTTTAGTCTTCTTCTTTTTTGAGTCCTTATCTTCATTGTTTTGAATTATAATTGATTGTATTTTGTTCATGAATATTTGTAACACTAGATATTTGTAGCTATGGGTATTTTGGAATCTCATAGCTAGTTGTATGCGGTAGTTACTGGGATGCATTAATGAATTATTAGTTTCTGCTAATCGAATGTGTATGTTGTTTTTGGACTCATGAAATGAGTATGAGCAGGCAAGTGGGTTTTAGAATAAGTTATAGAAAGTTGTATTTAAAAGTTATAGGAATTGCATGAAAATTAGTAAAATAAGGAAAAAATTTCATGGGTAGATTTTTGGGTTCTTACAGGTGTTTTATATTGGTTCACCTTCTTGTCCACCGAAGGCTACGTCCAGTACTTTTGACGCGCAAGAGATTCCTTTATTATATATAATGAGTTGCAATTATAAATATCTCACCCTGAGATCTCCTTGTACCTTACACACTCACTTATACTTAAAACCCTTGGAAAACCTTATTCCAACTAACACCCTTGGAAAACTATTTCAAGTCACTCAACCCCTTTCTATTCACACCCTTGTGAAATAAAGTGTACTTAGCAAAAGTGAAGAATATATAATATGTCTGGATTGCCTTTACAAGTGGATATGACAGTTCTTAACTTGCAATCCAAAAAACAACTCTAATACGATAGATAATAATGCTCTTTGAACTTTGAAAAAGTTTGGAATACACTTAGAAGCAACTCTGAAATGACATAGAAAGTTTAAGAGTGTGTTGCTAAAAAGTGCAGAAAATTCAGAAAGTGTGAGCGCTTTTGAGAGTTTTTAATGAAAGTTGTAATCTGAGTTGTTGTATATGTTATGTGTGTTTCAATGCCTTTATATAGGCTTTCCAATCAACCATAACACCTCTAGGGAGGTGAAGGTTTCGTTTGGAATGAAACAAGTCAGTTTGGAGTGAAACCTTTTCACTTTGAATTCTTAAAACTGATGCAACAGCTCTTAGTAATCGATTACAGCAAGTGAGTAATCGATTACCCAACTATCCTGTCCAACGGAATTTTCGAATTTTACACAATGTAATCGATTACTGTAATTAAGTAATCGATTACTCAGGTGTTCTGTTTCACATATTTGAAAAATGCCTTAGTGTAATCGATTATAGCTCTATGAGTAATGGATTACCCTATTTACTTAAAATGCTAATCTGTTACTTCAAAGACAGTAATGGATTACTTATAGTCTTTGGAGGTTGGTTAACTCTTTTCTCAATCATATAACTTGTTACTCAAGTTCAGTAACCCGATACATGATTTTTTGAAAGTTATTTTTATTCACACTTTGAATTTTCCAATTTTCTTTAAAACATTTTTGAGCATTATAGACTAAGGTAATAAAGGAGTTTTAGGTTAGAAGTACCTATAAGACTTAGACTCTATTTCTTGAAGCTTTGTCTTCTTTAGTCTTGATAAGTCTTCTTCCTTTCTTCTTTTTGTGATATTGGTGTCTTCATCAAAACCGTGCCAAAAATCTCTAACATACACAAAAAGCGTACACTCGAGGTTAGTGGTAAAAGAGATCACGAGTGTCAAGTGTGATACTTCATATTGGGATAAGTGAAACCACTAGAGGATCAAAGATATAAAAATGAGACCATTAGGGTCAAAGGCACAACACGAGACCACCGGGGGGCTTGGGTGCAAGGAGGACCAGAGGAACGCACGGATAACAAGGAACTTTGGGTCAAAAATAAATTAGATAACGGAAGGGTCAAAAGCATAACACGAGACCACTGGGGGCTTGGCTGCAAGGAGGACCACGGGAACGCATGGATATCAAGGAACTCTGAGTCAAAAATAAATGAGACCACGGAAGGGACAAAAGCACAACACAAGACCACTGGGGGCCTGGGTGCAAGGAGGACCACAGGATCGCACAAATAGGGAGGAACTCTGGGTCAAAAATAAATGAGACCACAGAAGGGTCAAAAGCACAACACGAGACCACTAAGGGCCTGGGTGCAAGGAGAACCACGGGAACGTGCGGATAGCGAGGAACTCTAGTTCAAAAATAAATGAGACCACATAAGGGTCAAGAAGCACAACACGAGACCACTAGGGGGCCTGAGTTCAAGGAGGATCACGTGAACGCACAAATAACGAGGAACTTTGGATCAAAACTAAATGAGACCACAAAAGGCTCAAAGGCACAACATGAGACCATTGGGTGCATAGGTGCAAAGAGGATCACAGGAACGCACGGATAGCGAGGAACTCTGAGTCAAAAATAAATGAGACCACAGAAGGGTCAAAAGCACAACACGAGACCATTGGGGGGTCTGGGTGGACGGAGGACTACAAGAGCGCATGGATAGCGAGGAACTCTGGGTCAAAAATAAAATAAGACCACAAAAGGGTCAAAAGCACAACACG